TATTATTGGTGCATTCAAAGTAAGTTGTAGACGTCAGTACATGCCCTCCCTAAACAACTCAACAAACACAATGTTAGCTAGAAGTTATTAGAATTAGGCTTGACCTTCACTTCAATGCTGTGATCTGCAAAGCTGTCTTCTTCTGGTCGGAAGACACAGTTTTACAAGTGTTGAAAGCTGAGAAAGGTTATCAGGGTAATTAAAGTAAGTATCAGGGGAGTCAGTCACCTACATTTCCCTGCTTCTCTACTTTAGAGATGAATCAGCCTGTCAGGGCCAAGATGGTTTTGCTTGTGATCGATTCTAGGAATGTTCTGTGGCTCCAAAGAGAGGGTCCTAAGTTGCTTTTTCTGGGATTTTTGCCAGAACCCCAGAGAGAAGGCAGAGAGGAACACCAATGCAGCTTCTGGGTCAGAACCTGCAATATCTGTGAAAGAGATTCTCAGCCAGGAGGAAGTGGAAGTTTTATGTACCCACCTTCTCTGGATATAAGTAGATGTCTTGAACTGCCCAACAGAATACTGGCCTCCATTCACTGGTGCATGTGAAGTTAGTCTTTGACTTGAAGCCAACTGATTTTCTGGGTTAATGACTCTGAATTTCTAACATGGAATATTCCAGAGGTACTGGCCCTTTAATGAATAGCAACTTTGTTGCCCTGGAAAGCAATTTACCAAAATCCACAGGCAAGAACATTTGTGTTGATATCTTAAAGCAGAAAAATATCTGCAAATGATGGAGTGTTTAAGATGATCATGCACTTGTATGAAATAATACCTTTGGAAAGATTTCAGTGTTATAAAGATGAAAATCAATATGTTGGATAAAAGGCAAAAAGTTGGATTGGGGGTGTAGCTCATTTGGGAGAGTGCTGGTCTAGCATGCACACAGCCCCGAGCTTGATCCTGAGACTGCATCAATCAAGCATGCGGTTACAAGCCTGTGATCCCAACACTCAGGGGATAGAGGCAGGAGGATCAGAATTCAAGCCATCCGTGGCTACATAGTGAGTTTGAAGTCATATAACCCTGTTACAAAAGCAAAACAAAGTGAGGGGGGAACTATGATTAAACATGTGTTGACAATATGGGTGTCTTTAAAGATTACAGTAGTGTATTTGGAGTCATTTTGGGAAGACTTTGCTCTTTACCATATCAGCATAAACTTTTCTTTCATGTTGCTCAGGATTACAAAGGTGATTGGTGGTCACATATCCAGCTGCCTGCTCCACATCCTCCTTTGATTTCAAATGACACCGTGAAGAAGGCTTGGAGTTCAAATGTACAGGGTTACACCTCTCACCTCTAAGGTGGACTCTGTTCATAGTGAGGCATTGTATGGCTTCTACTCCATTTGCAAAAATTCTTTCTTCTCCTATCCTTGTTTTTTCCTTTCAGTTCTCTCTCTCTCTCTCTCTCTCTCTCTCTCTCTCTCTCTCTCTCTCTCCTTCTCCTTTTCTTTTTCTCCGTGAAAGGCCTACAAACGGAATCTCTCTGCTCTGCTGTGACTACACATGCCACTACATTTGTCTTCTGCTTTGAGAAATGTCACCACTTTCTCTGGATACAGAGGTGGAGTAGATTTTGAATTCCAGAAAAATTTCCAAAAAGGTGTCCACTGAAACATCACCATTCTTTCTGAAGTTCTTTCATCATTAAATGACACTTGTAACAGAGGAGTCCTTTTGCTGGCACATCTGCACTTTGGAGGCATCTGCTACGGCCAGTAGGAGGGATGCACATTTTAACCTCTAAATTTCAGTTTAATAATTGTTTGTCTCACTTGATGGCTGATTGTCCTCATGATGAATTAAATGGACATAGCTACCTTCTGCAAGGTTTGTCACTAGCCTGGAGCATTTTGAAAATCTATTTCTTTTCTCCTATGACCTGAAAATATTTTTCCAGGTACTCATTTTTATGAAACAAACTCCCCTGAAACTGTTTACCTTAAAGGCACTTGACTTTGTGGATCAGGAAGCTGGAAAGAACAATGTTGGGTGTTCAGATTGTACCCATGTGGCATTGGTTGGTGCAGCTGGAGCTGGAAGATCCACTTTCTTTTTTTTTTTTTTTTTGGTTTTTCGAGACAGGGTTTCTCTGTGCAGCTTTGGAGCCTGTTCTGGAACTCACTCTATAGCCCAGGCTGGCCTCGAACTCACAGAGATTCGCCAGGCTCTGCCTCCCGAGTGCTGGGATTAAAGGCGTGCGCCACCACCACCCGACAAGATCCACTTTCAAGGTGATCTTGAGCTTCGTTTCTTCTCATGGTGTATCTCCCTCCAAGGCCTCTTTTCTATGGAGCCCTGGCTTCTTTCAAAACGATAACCTGAAGGTCATCACTCTTTTTTTGTTTGTTTGTTTGAGACAATGTTTCTTTGTGTAAGCCTTGACTGAACTGGAACTATTCCTATGGACCAGGCTGGTCTCCAACTCACAGAGATCCACCGGCCTCTGCCTCCCAAGTGCTGGGATTAAAGACATGCACTGCCCAGAAAGGCCATCACTCTTAAAGAACAGCTGGTTTCCATGAAACAGATGTGGTAATTGCCAGCTCATTTCAAAGCCTCACTCAGAAATGGCACGCTGAATTGGTCAAGGCAGCCACCAGTTCTGCATAGACCTAAGAGCAAGAGGAGTAAATGGCAGATTCAGTAGAGTGTTGGGTCATATTTCAGAACAAACCTGTGAGATAGAAACTACTGTTTAGGCCACTATAGGAAAATGGAATCTTCCAAGAGCTGATAAACAATGGCTTTAGGAAATAATATATAGGTGTTTCATGTTGAAAGTTTCTCCTAGACTTGAGGAAACAACTATCAAAGGATGTCCATGGAGCATGACATAGAAGTTAAGAGTGAAAAGCTTAAGTGAAAGTGAAGGAGGGAAAGTTCTAGATAGGCCCGGCAAACTAACGAGAGATATTTGTGTAGTTCCTCCCCAGCCCCTGCACAAGTGGGTAAAAGGGTGAGGCCATTCAAAGACATCAAAGAACTTTCTACTAAAGCCAGTGAGAAGCCTCTGAGGGGTTCAGGCATTGGTTTTCTATTTGTTTGCCACTGGGAAAACGGGTTGGCCAGTGGTGAACCTGAAGGCAGGAGGAACGGATGGTGATTGGGGAAGATGGATAGTAGCCTTCAGAATGGGAAGGTTTGCATGCACTGAGAGATGTTAGAAATCCAAATCCACAGGCTTTTGAGCTGAAAGAGTGTGAGGAGAAAGCTTTTACTCCAAGCCCAGTCACCTGGTTGAATGTTGGACTGGTCAAGGGAATGCAAGGTAAGTTCTGCAATGTGCCAGACAGAGGTTTCATACTTCTATTTTATGTGGAAACAGTTTCAGAAATAATTATAATAATGACAAGTACCAATACTTTATTAGTCGGTGGCAGTTTTGATGTTTACATGGATTATCTCATTTGGCCTTGAATTACTTAAGGTAGGCAGGATCAGTTTGAAGCCCACTGATAGGAGAGCCCAGAGAATAGACTTAAAAACAAACGAAGAACTATTCAGACTATGTTTTTACTATGGATTTAGGTATGGGCATTAAGGAAGAGAGATAGCCACTTCAAGAAAGATAATGTACACCCAAGTGTGGCCATGGACTTCTCAGGAGAGAGGGAAACGAACCAGGGACAACTTCACACATTTGCATGCCAGCCATCCTTGTACAAAGCCCAGGCTGCTCTCCTCTGTCCTGTCCCAATTTCAGTGTGTGCTGCCCAGTTGAGCACCAGGGAAAAGTCTTCGCTCTTCTCCTTCCCTACAGCGGGAGTCTGCAAACTATGCTGCAGCCCAAATGGCTATGCGCCCCACCCACTGTGCGCATTTTTGTCCAGTCTGAAAGCCAAGACGTTTTTTTCACATTTTAAGGTTGAGGGGGCTGGGGATACGGCTCAGTTGGTAGAGTGCTCGCTTAGCACTCCCAAAGCCCTGGGTCCAGTCCTCAGCACCACATAAAACTGGCCATGGTGGTGGATGAACCACTGTAACCCCAACACGCGGGATCTATGGGCAGGAGAATCAGAAGTTCAAAGTTATACTTGGCCATCTAGGGAGGTAAGGCCAGCCTAGGATATATGGAAACAGGTCTCAAAATATTAGCTGAAATATAAAGTCAAAAGAATATTTTGTGACAAGTGAAAATTGCATGAATTCAAAACATAATCTTATGAATTCAAATTTTATTATCTGTAATAAAGTTTTTATTGAAACATAGCCGTACTCAGTAAGTGTTGTCTATGGCTGCTTTCTGGCTACAAAAGCAACCTGGAGCAGTCTCCATGGAAGACCTACATAGCTGGAAATACATACACACACACACACACACACACACACACACACACACACATATATACATATGTATATATATGTATATATATATCACCATCAGACAGTTTCCCAGATTTATTTCAGAGTCGCCGCTTTCACTCTTTTCCCAAGACAAGACAACGAACTTTCTGGTGTTTAAAGAGCATTCAGAATGGCAGCCTCGCCTGCCCCCTGATTAAAAATTCTAGGAAAACTGGATTGCTTCCTGGCTGGGTACACATCCTCATCCTACTGAGGGCAACTCTCCAATGCCTTCTCCCTCCATCCCAACAAAACCAAGCCCTTCATCACATGTCCCCCTATTAGAGTATGCCTTCTCTTTCGGCAGGAACAGAGATGTGTTGGCTCTTGCTTCTGCTCTGGCCCTGGCCCCGTTCTCACTGGCAAACAGCAAGGAGCGTATTTATGAGAAACAACTGTGTATGTAGCGCCTAGGAGACAGGCTCAGTTTGTTCTCTTCACAAGCCTCCCATGGTGGTACTGTCGTCCTCACCACTCTCATTTCACGGCGAACCTGATGCACAGAGAGGCTGAATCACCTGCCCCAAACCGGACAAGTGGCTAGCAAACATCTTTGTTCAAAGAGCCAACGGGTTGGGTGACAAGCCGACTGGAGCGAAAACAGGTTTTCCAAGTCAATCTAAGGGTATACAGAGCACGGAAGCATCCCACACATGGGGGCGGGCAGCGCGCCCCCAAGAGGCCGGGGTGCGCATCATTCTTTGGATGGAAGGTCAAAAGGCAGACCCAGAGAGGTGGAGTCAGAGAATCCAAACCCAGGGTAAATAAAGGGAGTGTCATCCCGGTCCAAGGCCCCTGGGACCTAGAGACTCCCGCCTCCCCGAGGCCCCACAACAGAGTGCTGAGTCACGCTGACTGACGGCCGGAGCTCTGCAAACCCTTCTTCCCTGTGCTGTGTCCCTGACGCTGCGGAGACTCTACAGCGGCCGCGGCTTCCCTCCTGGGCCTGTGCTACACCGGAGTGAGTGGCCTGGGACGCCTCCCCCCGACCCCCCGCGAGGGTGGTGTGTGTGTGTGTGTGTGTGTGTGTGTGTGTGTGTGTGTGTGTGTTGATGGGGGGGAGGAGATGGACCCCCCGCGAGGGTGGTGTGTGTGTGTGTGTGTGTGTGTGTGTGTGTGTGTTGATGGGGGGAGGAGATGCCCGGAGCAGTTTTCAGGATGCTTCCTTTCCCAGCCTACTACTGGTTCCTCAGGGAGCTGAGGGAGGAAGATGCTTAAATAGCACCGAGATTTGGTGAAAGGGACCGCAGCTTGGCTTTTCTCCTGATAAAACACTGTAATTAGCTAACTTCCTCATCCTTGTTCCTGTGTGTATCTAACTGTGGGAGTCTGGAAGGACCCAGAAAATCTAAGTGGAGGCAAAACTACTTAATAGTTGAGTACGTCTGAATGATGACAGGCCTGTATTCAGAAGTTCGTTTCTGTGCTCCACATTTCATGGCCCAATAGGTATATATTGATTGTCTACTAGAGAGGATACATTTTAGGATCTTCCTTTACTAACTGGAGGGTACTCCTGTGTAAAGTTCCTATAAATAAGAGCGGATCACTTTCCCATAGCACTGTTCGAATCCTTTGAGGTAGACATTTCTTAATCCCATTTTATAGATGGAAAAGCTGAGGCACAGAGAGTCCCAAGTGAAAGCAGGCTGGAATGGGGCAAAGCTGAGATAGAAATCTAAGGTGTCCAGTTCCAGAATCGTCATCTTGTGAAAACACTTCTCTTGGCTTCAGTAGAAATCTTTGAAGGATTGGTTAGAGTTCACTTGGCAAACAGATCTGAGGATTTAGGATTACCTATCGGCAAACCCCTGAAGATAGAAAGGGGGTTCTGGGATGTTTCTTAGTTAGGGCTTAGACATCTTCAACACATAATGAAGCACTCTTGAATAATAAATGTGGTATATAGGTTGTTTCCGAACCATGGGTTCCCTTGCGGGGTATTCATATATAATTTGTCTGTGCTTTAGAGGACTTTATTAGGACATTCAAAGATTTCCTGTCTAAAAAATTGCGTGCATAATACCTACATAAGATCAAGCCAGTCAAAATTCCAACACAGATGGGAGGAAGGTTTGTGAAGTCCCACCCCTAACTGAGAAACTTTGGCACTTGGAGGCTGCTGGGGTAGGGAGTGCCAGTTTTCTTGAAGAAAGTGACCCCTGTTAGGATGCCCATGCTTCAGTAGAGGACCCAACATGCATGTGCACAACAATGACAGTACCACTTGGACTCAGTAGGCCACAGAAAAGACAGCATGAAGCTGGCAGTGAGATGTGATGGGGGTCTGAAAGGAGTTGGAGGGGGAATGAGGGGTTGATATAATTAAAAAACACATTGTATACATACTTGAAATTACTAAGGAATGATTTTTTTAATGGCCATGGACTTTAGAGATACAGGGGTAATTGAATCCAGTCACCCTTGAAGATCTGTTTCAATGCCAACACCATCATATTCTGGTGAGATTCACATACCTCTTGTTTTTTCTCTTTGTTCCCAGTGACACCAAAAGAACCCCCACTTCCATCTTCCACCCTACTGCATGGGGTGGCCACTGAGGGGTGTGTGGTGGTGTGGGAGGTCAAGAGATGTCACTGAAGCAAAGCATATAAAATGCTCTTTAGATATTTCTATTAAGTTCTTCCTACGAGTTGTAATCACTAACCTTTGTACACGATGACTGCAGGATTACATGAGGTAACTGCTAATAATGGGGTTCAGGTACCTGGTAGATACTAATACATGTCCACCATCATTGTGTTTCACAGTAAGTACTCAATAAATTACAACTGTTAGAATTTGGGGAAAGTCTACTGTCAATATCCTTCGTTTATAGTCTGTAGATATTCCCTCTGTTGTGATTTCTTTCGTTGTTTTTCATCTTGTTCTCCATCTTCTACAGCTCCACACCAGAAAGTTCTTTATAAACTTCAAAATGGGATCCTCTAAGAAGGTTACTCTCTCAGTGCTGAGCCGGGAGCAGTCAGAGGGGGTTGGAGCTCGGGTCCGCAGAAGCATTGGCAGACCTGAGGTACGCTGCCTGGATGACTATTGTGCTTTCCTTTCTGAAGGGACTGGTGGGATGTTGAAGAGGATTTGGTCATGAGCTTCCCTGTGGGGTACCTGTCTTAGGTAGGGTTTTTATTTCTGTGAAGAGACACCATGACCATGGCAACTCTTATATGGAAAACATTTAATTGGGTGGCTTGATTATAATTTCACAGGTTCAGTCCATTCAGATGTGGTGCTGGAGAAACAGCTGAGAGTCCTACCTACACCTTGCAGGCAACAGACTGACAGTCACACTGAGGGAAGTTTGAGCAAAGGAGACCTCAAAGCCTGCCCCCACAGTGACACACTTTCTCCAACGAGACCACACCTACTCCAACAAGGCCACACCTCCTAGTAGTGCCAATCCCTTTGGGGGCCATTTTCTTTCAAACCACCACTGCCAGAGGGAGAAACATGAAACTCCACAATTGGGGCCCTGTGTGGATCAACCCCAGTCTACAGGGGGTCTCTGGAATATGGATAAGGAGGTGCTGGGCAGCAGGTGCAGCTGAACTGTAGAAGATGTGTCTGGTTTTCTCTGCATGCCCATGTTCTGCCTTGAGCTGAGGAAAATGCGCTGTCAGCCTCAGCATGCATATCCTCAAATGTGGCCAACTTGTAGCCTCTCTACCCTTCCTTATGTGCTCATACTTCAAAGCACAAGGAACTGTGGATCCCAGCTTCAGATTCCTAGGGAAGACAACCTAATTGGTTCTGCATGGGTCAGGTCTCCTGGCTGATCCCACATAATAAAGGATTTACATTTGTGCGCTGAGATCCAGCTCTGTAGACCTCTGTTGTGGGGGCAGGAACACAAGGCAACTCAGAGATTGTGACCCTAGATTTTTTTATAGCATTAGGGACCATTTTTATCTGAATACTAGGGAATACATGAAGTTTAGGGAGGGGTCTTAGCTGCACAGAGAGGTATCAAATAGTGATCATAGCCAAGGGCTAGAGGCCTCTGTGCTATCCCACATTAAATGTGAGTAAGAGAAGAAATGCATTGTAGGGATAGATTGCGTTTTGGGGAAGCAGGACTGATTTCTTACACTCCACTCCAGGATTTTCATACTGCCTTGTTGCTGAGCTTTATACCTCTCACTACATATGGGTTTCTTTGTCTACTTTTTGATAAAAAGTGTGTTTGAAAAATATTCATCAAGTTTTTTTTGGCAGTACTGGAGATTGAATGTAGGGAGACCCTTGTACATGCCAGGCAACCAATCAATCACTGATCTATATCCACAGTCCTCATTTTGGATTTTATGTTGAGACAAGAGTCTCGCTAAGTTGCCTAGGCTGGCCTTGAACTTAAATCCTCCTGCTTCGGCTTCCTGAATAGCTGGGATTAAAGCCTTTGCTTATAGGCTTTGGAAAGTCTTGGCTTTCTTCAGCGAGTCCTGCCCTATATCATTAATGGGTTTATGTTTTCAATTTTAAAATTTTAATTGAAAAATTGTGTGTATTATGTGCAGCAGGATGTTTTTATACTTGTATAAGCCAAGGAATGGTCAAAACTAGCTGATTAACATCCGTACTACTTCACATAATAATTTTCAAAATCTAGTCTTAGCAAATTTCAACTATATAATACATTGCCATTTTACAGTTAACAAGTGCTATTGACTTCCTGAACTTACTCTTCCTGTCTGACCAACATCCCTCCATCGGTTCACCTCAGCTCTGGAAGCCGCCATTCTATTTGTTTAGATTCCACATAGGAGTGAGGGGATGCAGTATTTGTCCTTCCGAGCCTGGTTCCTTTCACTCAGCGTGATGCTGATAAGCCATCCAGTAGGCTCCCCCATCAGCTCCATCAGTCTTTCTTCTTTGTTCTGTCTTGGGCCTCTGCCATTTTTCTTTCCAACAGTAACTCACTCATAGATAGCTCTTGAGATCCCAAATGTATCATTTGTCAAAGAAAGGACACAAATAACTTCATCTTAATGACTAAATGCATAGGGCCAGATGGAGGCGGTGTCGTATTCTCTTAGATGTATATCAGCACCAACGGAAAAACTGGAGAGAGTTCTGAGACCCCACAGACACCTGTTAGTCAGTCATTACTATGTACTAAGTGTAGCTATTACTTTAATTAGTCCATCTGTCAAGAATGTATCTGCTGAGAATGTCTTAACACTTTTTTTTTTTTTTTTTTGGTTTTTCGAGACAGGGTTTCTCTGTGTAGCTTTGCGCCTTTCCTGGAACTCGCTTTGGAGACCAGGCTGGCCTCGAACTCACAGAGATCCGCCTGGCTCTGCCTCCCGAGTGCTGGGATTAAAGGCGTGCGCCACCACCGCCCGGCAACACTTTTTTTTTTTTTTTTTTTTTTTTTTAATCCTGTGAACCTCTTTGGTGGTCTGGCGAAACCTATCAATTCCTTTGTAAAACAGTGTTTTGAAGTACACAAAACAGAATAGATGAATTTCCAAGAAAAAAATTATATTATAACATGGTTAAGGTTGTTTTTAAGAGACAATTTAGTCATCTTATATTTTTACAAGTTTTTAAGAGTTTTTATTTTTTAAAGTTTTGAGTGATGCATGTAATCACATCCTGATTTCAAACATGAACAATATTTTCACATACCTACTCACAGATGTAATATGTTATGAAATAGCTTTAGTTTCTATTGGTCCAAGAATCACAGTTGCTGGTAATTTATTATAACTGATTGAGCTTACTCACAATTGAAGAAGCTACTGGATTTCAGTCTGGACATGATAGTGATAGTTGCACGACAATGTGAGTGTGCTTAATGTTACTGAACTGTGGTCTCAAAGGTGCTAAGTCTTGGGCTTAGGGAGATGGCTTAGTGGTTAAGAGTGTGGACTGCTTTTGTAGAGGACCTTAGTTTGATTCCTAGCATCCATATCTGGTGACTTACAATTACCTGTAACTCCAGCTTCAGGGTGACCTTTGCTTCTGGTCTCTGAGGGCACCTGCATTCATATGCACATACCCTCACACAGACACAGGAATATACAGATAATAATAATAATAATAATAATAAATTTTTAAAATTGCTAAATTTCATTTTATATCTATTTTACTATAATAAAAAATATTCAAAAAATAGAGATTAGTAAAAACAAAGATGTAATTCCCCTCAATATAATTTTATATATTTGAATTTTATGTTTTATCTATCTGATATAAGAAACCTTGATTAAAAACATAGATTTTTCAAGACACTGATATGTTATTTAAATTCAGGTTTCCTGTGTCACAAATATTCTATAATCCTAATAGAAGACAGAGGAATAATTTTGAATGTCATCAACTTTGTTTAATTACAAATGAGAATGAAGGTGTTTCCAAACAGTTATGTTTTACACTATTGAGGATTATATAGAAGACACAGTTTTGTGTCCTGAAGTTTTTTCCTTAACATGGTGACACAAGAGCTTTCTGTGTTATTACAAATTCTTCATAAACATCATTTAAAAAAATACTGTATAAGCCTACCATCATTCTCTTGTTCAAGACCCTGTATTTGACTGTTGATGTTGTTAACATATCTCCATATTCTACAGAAAGGTAGACCCCGCATTTCTGTCCTCCAGCCAGCAGAAATGAAGGCATTTGTCTACGTTAAGGTTACTTTTCGAAGTCTGTGCACCAGGCTTATGTCTCAAAGAAATAGAAACTTTTGACTCCAAAGCTATTTTCATGTTGAAGAAGCAAAACTGCTCCGTTTTAGTAGCTGCCACAAGTGTCCCCTCCCCCCTTCCTACCACTGAAATGTAGAAGCCGAAGAGGAACTTACAGTGAGCCTTTCTATGATTAGCAATAAAGAAAAGATGGACTGGGGCTGGCTTCCATCCTTCATTACAGTTATCCATGGACCCCGCTAGATAGTCATGGACTCTGACGGACTCACTAGCATGTTGTTGGGAGGTGGTTCCTTTGTGCTCCCAGGAGGAGAGAAACCCATCATCATCAGTGGCATCTGTCTTTATGCTGCCTGATTCCATCAGCTACTGTTCAGTAGAATGCCACTCTCTGTGGGTTATTTCATTACTTAAGAGGATACTCTGAAACAAAGAAAACCAGAGGAAATCACATAATGAATGTCCTGTTCCATTTCTCCCCTCAAAGTATTTGGAACAGAAACCCAGATGTCATTTTGTTCATAACTACTTCAGTTTCTGTCTCTGAAACACAAGGCTAGGAGAGAATAATGGGATCTAAGTGACAGAAGTTGAGGGGATGAACTATTTCAGGGCTAGGAGGTGATCAGCAAGAGGAAGAATGTGGGCATGAACAGAGACACAGTATAGTGATACGTGAAAATAACACAATGGAAATCACCACTTTGCATGCCAGCTGACAAATTAATGAAAAGATAGGAAGGGGGATGACCCAAGAAGAGAGGATGGTAAAAATATAATTGTAGTCCCCTTATATTGGAACATTAAAGAATTCCTTAATATTATCTAATAGCTATTTCCTGAGGCAATAGCAGCCACTTGTCCTGTGACACAGAGAGGAGGAAGAGGACAAAAGCAAAAGGACAAACATCAACTGTCCACCCTCATTTCCTAAGGAATGACTCTAAAAGTTCTACCCTGGAATTGCTGTGTGGTAACCAGATTCAACCACAGGACCTAGCTACAAGAGACTAAAGAATCTATCAAAAGCACCACCCAGAGTTTGTGGGGGTGCAATCTGCGTATTTAGGAATATTCTAGACTCAATAGAATGCCATTTGAAAAGCACAGCATCCATCCTGTCTCCAAAGGCCTGCCATTTCTGACAGGCACTTGCAGCACTTCCGGATTGCCAAACCTTACCGGGCTGTTGGAGCTTTATTATGGGGTTGCTACAGGCCCGAGGGCTGGTGGCCACATGTTTTGTTTGGAGTTCTAAAGATGCCGAAAGAACAATCTTGGAAGCTACTGTTTAAATTTGGCAGCTAAAGGACTTGGAAGTATTTGAAGGAAAAGAAACACGTAGGAAAATAGAGATGTGATTGAATTTGGAACCTAATTAAAACATTTTAGAAAATTAGAGTTCTCATAGAAGTCTGTTCTTGTGGACAGATGGCACATGTTTATTGAACATGTTGCTGAAGCTACTGTAAATGCTTAGAGATTAGTAAGAACTAATTTTCAGGCCTGCAAGTAGCACTTCGGTACAACAGTCTAATGCAAACATACTCTTGTTTATTGGAGTGTCTCTTATACATGCCTCTCGTCTTCTGGCCAGTTGAACAGTTCACCCCTCTGACTCTTGCTTTGATCAACTACCTGGATTCTATAGCCCTTTACTTATACTGACTTTCTTCATGTAGCGTAGATTGGTGACTGGAGGGAGCCAGTGTGCAGAGAATCCAAATAATACTGATATGGTGTAAATGTATGTATCCTTCCCCAAATCAAAGCTTGCAATCCCATCCTTCAAGTTGATGGTATTAGCAGGCAGAGTCTTTGGAAATCAGTTATGTCATGAGGATGAAATCTTCATATCCTTCACTTGATTAATTCCAACATGTATTTCAAGACTCAGCTCAGGAGCCACTTCGTGGTAGCTGACTTCCTGATGTTACCTGTTCTTATATGTGTGAAGTTGTTTTTCCTTGAGAGCACTCATAAAGCATTGCAGATACTGATTTTGTAGACGCCTACCTCATGATGCTAAGAATCTGTTACAAACGGATGATGACCTATTTGACTATATCATAGATAATCATGAAGTGCTCACGCTTCTCTCTTCTCTTACAATGTCAATTCCAATGTAATTGATGAATCCTTATGTACATGTTTCCTTCTGAATGTAATCTTCATTTTAGAAGGTTGCTCATTGGCTGTGCAATCTTCAGTGAGTTTTGTTAGATATGTCTGTGAATGTACCCCTGTAGCATGACTTAAAAGCCATGTCTAACATGCCAAATTTTATTATTATTCCAGTTGAAAAATCTGGATCCATTTTTACTATTTGATGAGTTTAAAGGAGGAAGGCCGGGAGGGTTTCCTGATCACCCACACCGAGGTTTTGAAACAGTAAGTACCACGATTTGACTGCAAACATGTATCTTTCAAAATTTGACTTTTATTTCTAATAGAAATTCCATTAGAAACAATGAATAGAGGCAAAAAATGATGTGTAAATTTCTTGCCATAGGCTGCTATGTAACTGTTATAGCGCTTTTAAATGAAATATACTCAAATTTAAATATCAACTTTAAAACAATTTTTATTAATTACATTTATTAATTTATTTTACATCTCGACAGAAGTTTCCCCTCCCTCCCTCCTCTCCTCCAATTTGCTCCTCACCACCTCCCCTCTGCCTCCCCACCCCATCCACTTCTCCTCCATTTCTAATCAGAAAAGGGCAGGCCTCCCATGAATATCAACAAAGCATGCCATATCAAGTTGACGTAAGACTAGGTACCTCCTGTTGTACTAAGGCTGGGCAAGGTGACCCAGTATGAGGAAAAGGGTCCCAAAAGCTGTCAAAAGAGCTGGAGACAGCCCCTGCTCCCACTGTTAGGAGTCCCACAAGAAGACCAAGCTACACAACTGTAACAAATGCAGAAGGCCTAGGTCAGTCCCATGCAGGCTCCCTGGTTGTCGGTTCAGTCTCTGTGAATTCCCACGAGCCCAGGTTAGTTGATTCTGTGGGTTTTCTTGTGGTGTCCTTTACCCCCCAGCTCATTCTTAATATTATTCAATTTGTGTCCTGTTGACATTTCTGTCTGAGCAGTTATTAAAGAGCAAGAATCAGCTTCTTAAAAATATACAATTGCCGGGCGGTGGTGGCGCACGCCTTTAATCCCAGCACTCGGGAGGCAGAGCCAGGCGGATCTCTGTGAGTTCGAGGCCAGCCTGGGCTACCAAGTGAGTCCCAGGAAAGGCGCAAAGCTACACAGAGAAACCCTGTCTCGAAAAACCAAAAAAAAAATATATATATACAATTGAAACAATTTATTGGAGCTAGAAGAAACTAAGGCATGATTAAATAATTTTGTAAGGAAAATCTATTTTTTCCCAAGAGTATACAGAAATGTTTAACTTTGTGTAACATAATATTATAAGCACCAACACATAATCTAAGAACTCAGTGAGCATTATACTAAGTTCTAAGGAATTAGAATTAGGGAGCCAAAATTTAACAGTCTAAAATTTCAGATTTTATGGACATACTCACATATTTATAAATTTAATTACAAAATTTGGAGATTCTAGTGGACACTACTTTTTGTTTTAGTTCTATAGGAAATAAAGATGTGTGATGTAATCTTGCGGCATTTTCTACAGCTCGGATTCTCCACACACACACACACACATTCTGGGAAACCTTGGAGACTTTACAAAGTTGAGCTATTTCTCCATGAGAACCACCTGTATTCGAGGTAAACAAAGCAGGGCTTGCTAAAGGCTTAGTGTGTTTGTAAAACCAATTAGTGGATGAATAAATAGTTACCTAGCGCTTACAACAAGCAAGTGCTGGTGGAGGCTGATCTTTCATATGTTGGGGGTGTGCTGTGTGTTGGGGAGTGTTAGTAGAAGACAGAGGATGAGGCTTGAGCCCTGCTTGCTTCCGTAGGTACTCTAGTTAAGGAAGTAAAAGCAGGGAAAGATTTGATCACTGTAACCGTGGAAAGATTTAACCAAGAAGCTTCCAGAAACAAGCTGAGGCTACTTAGATCTGTGTTCCTTCATTTATCCGTTGGCCTTCAGGTTCTGCCCTCTGCTAGCGCATTGGCTACACTGTCTTACTTTACAGCAATGATAGGAACCATGCTTTCACCTTCCCTGTACCTGTATTTGATTCCAACCCTTGGCCCAGAACTCCATAACTCTGGTTGCCATCCTACAAATCCTTTAAGCTCTTTTCACGTATTAGTATCTCCATCATGTTTTCCAAACAATCCCAAGAGGATGCACTTTCTTCTTCATTTGGCCCCAATGACATGATGTTTGTACCAGTTGAACATGCATGTATGCATTGCTGGTGGCCTTGAGCAGCTGTCCTTCATTAGAGCTGAGAATTACCGCACCCTCCCCTTACCATGCCCAAGAAATTGTTTCAGCTTGCATTAGCCCCCACTTCTCTGCGTTCACTGTGTAGAGGTAGTCAGTAACTGGCTCTTGTTACAGGACAATGACTATAGTAAACGAAACGACTGCGGAACAGGTTGCACCTGTTCCCATCATGTGAAGTGTCCTGGAAGGGGACTGCTTCGTAAGTCGTATGGTATTCCGCTTTAAAGAACTTGTTGAAGAAGCTTAGCTATAGAATATTGAGGTTTGGTCCTTTCCTTGTGATTAAGAATTTTCCCTTCAATTACACTGCAATTGCATTTTATCCTTATTGTTTGTAGACTTTGTATTGACGAGTTTCCCTGCGTGGAGAACCCATTGCCAATTGCCAAATCAATGCTTGTAGAGCTTTGATGATAATTCAGGGTGTTAGAGCCGCCCAGTGTGTCTCTTGCCAACTGAGATGTAACAAGGTGATGCCGCCCTCTTGGTTGTTTCAGCTCGTAACATAGGCCAGCGTCCTTGTAACAACCTTAGTGGCACATTTCTTATATTTTCCTGCTTTTTGGTAACCATTCAAAATGGTTCCTGAGCATTGTACAGTTTTCTTTCTAGTATTCCTTCACAGAAGGCTGTTAATTTGCCTTGTTCACGGAGAAAATATGTGCATTCAGTAAACTTCTTTTAGTATGACTTGGTACTGCTGGTTGAGCATTCATTAACATCAGTGAACAATGTATATAACATATGGGAGGGTCTTTAAACAGAAATACACTTATAATAGAGCAATGATTCTCATCCTGTGGGCCACGATCTCTTGAGAGTTGAATGACCCTTTCACAGGGGTCACCTAAGACCATTGGAAAACACAAACATTTACATTACGATGCATAATAGTTATGAAATTACAGTTATGAAATAGCAACGAAAGTAATTTCATTGTTGGGGTGTCAGCACAGCATGAGGAGCTGTATTAAAGGGTTGCAGCATTAGGAAGGTTGAGAACCACTGTAATAGAAGCATACATGGATGGGCTGCCAAAAACGTTGTTGCCAGAGACTTGAAGGTGCCCACTCTTAGATTGCCATTAGCACCCAGTGGTTCAGGACTTGTTAATTAAGGGATCATGATAGTTTTATAGAACATGATTACTTCAGATCATGAGAAATTACTATGTCAATTTTATTCCCCAGAGTATAGGTAAGCCAGGACTTAGCTCTCTTTAAATACAAACCTTTAACTCTGCAACTTAGGACTGGAGAGATGATTCAATAGTGAAGAGCTCTTGCTGCACTTGCAGAAGTCCTGGGTTTGGTTCCCAGTACCCACATTTCTCACAACTATCTGGAACTCTGATTCCAGGAATGTCCTCTTCTGGCCTCATTTGGTATTAGGCATGTGCACAGTACAGTTGCACCACATGCAAAACATTCATATATGTAAAATAAAGATAAAACACCTTCCAAAATTATAAGTGAAAATGAAGCCAAGTCTACTTTAGGCTCTTATTACTTCCTCTCTGGAGCTCAATCTAAATTCCAAAGGCTTGTCATGCTTAAAATTCTGACAGGTATATAAAATTAAAAGATAAATAAAATAACTTGGAAATAAAAAGAATGTTAGGATCACCTGTTATGTTACATTACCACCCAGAAGTAGTAATTGCTATTGTTTGTTTCTTTTTCTGGTATCATACTGTCTTTTTTAAAATAACATTATGGCATTAGATTTTTTCCAACGTTCTTCAAAAAGCTAATTAAAAGATGGCATTACTTTCTTTCTTGTGTTGTGTGCTCATGCCATGGCACATGTCTGGAGGTCAGAGGTCAGAGAATAGCTTTCCAGAATTGGCCCTCTCCTTCCACTATGTGGACCCTACCCATGGAACTGAGGTCAGGTCGTCAGGCTCAGTGACAAGCATCTTTACCCCCTGAGCCATGTCACCTGCTCCAGTTTTTTGAATGACCTTGGTAAGTGTCTGCCCTGATGGACCGCACCAATCGGTGATATGTGAAGACACACATTTTCCATCAGCATCACCAACACTTGACTTTTTTTAAAGTGTTTTCCATTCTAACGATAAAAATACCTCATTGCAGTTTTAATTTACAATTTTCTGAGCAAGGCTGATTTTTTTTAAAAGGTTGATTTTGATTTAAAGATATTCGTTTATTGTAGATACTTACATCCTTGCCCCACCCCGTTGTGCTGTCATCAATAATGTGTGAACTATAAGTATTTCTTTTTCAATTTAAACTAAACTTTGGAATACACAGAGTTTACTCCGGTTGTTATTATTGTAGTTTTATAGAAGTTCTTTGTATATCAAGGAAATCAAATCCTTTTCAGTGATAGGCGTTGGAGATAGTGATAGAAGAGTGATGTTTGCTTTGCATGCTTCCAAATATAAGCCTTGGGTACAACATAGATACAAACTACAGAACAAAGTCTGTTTTTGACAGTCAGTTCAATTGGCTATGCAAGATGGAATAAGTTCCCAGACCCAGGCAATTTTCTTATGCCCAGGTAACACAAGTATGCAATGAACATTCACATAATGGGTGTGTTATCAGCATCAGTGGTACTTAAAATAGTGCTGTTTTGGAGCTCATGATTACTTTTTAAATGAAAATGACGTGCTAACACATGAGTATAAAATATAATGGATATATTTTGAATACAAGCTCATCTTTTCAAAATTCATAGATATACATGATCAAAGAAATCCTAAGAGTATTCTATAAAATTCTCACTGCCTCATGTGGGGTCCACGAGCCAGCAATGTTATGTCCTGGAATATTCAGACTCCACCCCAGGGCTACCGGATCCAACAGAGTGAGCAACATATGCAAACAAATGTAAAAAAAATGCTGGTCCAGTTGACTTTCCACACCAGAGCTATTAGGACCATGAGACAAATAAGAGTAATAACTTGATTTTACCCAGTTAATGGCTAATCAGCTTTCAGACTCTTAGGTTTATGTAGATCTCTGTTTTGTTGTTGCCTGACCACT